TAAGTATGGATAAATTTGTCGCTTTTCTATGAATTTCATTAATACACTTTTACGTTTTCTTACAGCCACCAGGTTTATGAATTGTATCCAAATAAATTCTTGAAATTGGATGAATCACGCGTTTATGTATTGAATACACTATTCAATTTGCCGGAGACTTATTTATTAGCTTGCCTAGTAGACTTCTTTACAAATAGTTCAGTTTATGAGAGGTAAGTAATAAATATATATATATATATATATATATAAATCATTGTATAATTTAAGTAACTTCAAAGGAATTTCGTTGATATCGTAAAGAATAATTTTATTTCATTTTTCATAATGGATTGTAATCATCCTTTGTACTCGTATACCTTCTTCGTATCCGTAGTAAAGAATATACAATTTTCCACTTCGTTTGTGCACTAATGTAAGCTTGATTAAAAGGACACTCAGTGTTTTTCTTAATATCCAATTCAATTACATTTAATTGTGTTGCACTTAATGCTCTATTAACTCTTCATTTCTTCATTAAATTTTAAGTTAATTGATTTCTTCTTATTAAAATAGTGCAACAGTGCGTACAAGCAGCATTCAGTTAATTGAATTATTTGTATTGGGCTTCATTAATTAATTATTTTGTTGAAAGTATTATTATTGGAACACAGACTGTTAATATTAAATAATAAAAATAAATTAAATTTGCGTAATTAGTTTGGAAATAAATAGTTATTCTTTCAATTTTGTTTCGATAAAGTATTATTGCTGAACAAGTTAACACACAATCGGTTTGGCTAAAACAATGTATCTGATCAGATACGTTTATACAGATATACAGATATCTTTACAACAGCAGAATTTTCATAGTTTATGTGACATATTTGACTGTATGCCCAGTGTCTTCTCAAATTATTCTGCTTCGTACAATCAATAGAAGAATTTGTTGGCATTTCTTCCCAGCAACACATTTAACGAGGTCGCAAATAGTACCTAGAATAAAAATAAAGAAAACCTGCAAGACAAAGCAACAGAACATCCCAATATAGTGTATGCTGCTCCAGTATAAACGATAGAAACCCTGCTAGACAATGCAATAGAACATCCCAATATAGTTTATGCTACTCCATAACGCAAAGGTAAAGACCTTTGAGAGGCATAGAGTAAGAGACTAACAAATTTCACTCTTAACAAAATTTAGTACTGCATACTACTGATCCCGTTTGCTATTGTTTATTACGTGTGACCATCTACATACGGAATTTAACATGCCTCTAGTAAAAAAGCTAGCTACTGTTGAAATAATATATTTCTCGTGCCACATAGATGGACATCCAAATGGCATCAACGAGAAGAGATATGGTAGCTGTACTATCTCATGTTTTTCATTTTTTAGATATCGTACGTTAAATCAATTTCTTTTCCTGAAACTTAAGTATTATTATCCAGAAGTGAACAAAATAAATGGGAATTTATACAAACCTCGAATGCTTCTATTGGTACTCTGATGGTACAGAACTTGAAGGCTGTCTTACTAGTGTCACTCTTTTGTTATTTTTACTTTTATTTATTGCTTTATTGTTACTTCTATTATCATTGCTCTTATGCATCTTTTCATGCTCTCATGAGTGTTGCTCTCGGAGTGCATTAATATAAGAAATATAATAAAGAAATGAAAGTCAGTTTTGACGAGACACTCTTAATCAAACGGACGTGTTTTATTTAAACTCGGTGTCTGACAAATTCAGAAGTGGGATTTAAAATAAAGAGTGCAAATAATAATTTATTGGTAATAAGTGTAAACAGTTATTAATAAAAATAATGGATTCGAACACAATGGGAAATGCAATTGACTTGGATGATTTTCCTTCGGTAAAGGAAAGTAATGTGAAAACGCAATTGCATGAATATAATGATCAGGAGAAACAAAGTGTCGCCGATGTTAATACGGCAAACGAAAACACCACCGTTTTGGAATTGAAAGCCGAAGTATTGCGTCTCCAGCGGACATTGGAGTCATTAATACAGCCTATCAATGCGGTGGCGACGTCGATGCCGGAATTAAATGCGAATAAGTATTTTGTGCCGAATACTAATCTACATGCAACAAGTCAAACTACAACTACAACAAATACAGTGAGTGTTTCTTTGCCTTCGATGACTGTACCGAACCAATACATGAACAAATATTCGTGTGCATCAACAAGTACAGTGTGGCCTCTGCCAGCGTCACATGTAATGAATATGCCTTATGCGTCTACGTTGGCGCCAGTAATCTTTTCAACCCCTGAGTGTGTGCAAAAGTCGCCGTTGATCGCGCCGAACATAGCTGTAGCTGCTACGTCAGCAGAATACGCACCGTACATGCAGAACAGACAAGATCAAACCAATGTGCGTATGCAGTATGAAACAAATATGAATACGAATGTTGCTATGGCAATGCAGAGTGCGAGTAACTACTGTAATATAAGAGATATTATAGATGCTTTGCCGTCATTCGACAACAACAGTGATGACGTCACATCAGTGCAGTTTGTTCAAAGTGTTGAGCAATTAAAGAATGCATACCAGTGGAATGACCATATTGTTCTATTTGCTATAAGAAGTAAATTGAGAGGTGCCGCAAAATTGTGGATTGATTCGCAACCAGTATTTCGTAGCTGGGGTGAATTTGTGATCGCATTCTTAAATGATTTTCCGTGTGTTTTGAATGCTGCTGATATTCATATGCAGTTAATGAGCAATCAGCAGAGAAAAAATGAAAGCGTTGTTGAGTACTATTATCGAATGTTAGCTATTGGACGCCGTGGACAACTCGAAGACCAAGTGGTCATAAGATATGTAACCATCGGGCTGTATGACGACGGGTTGCGGAAGACATTATCTGCTATGCAATTTAAAAATTGCTCAGATTTTGTGCGGTCGTTACAGAACAGTAATGTAAGCGTACGAAGACCAGTAGTACGTTACAATGATAATCAATATATGCCGAATAAAAATAACAGTGACTCCAGTGTAACTCGTGTGGTAAAAACGGGACCGGTTTGTTATAATTGTCGGGAGTATGGGCACATTTCGAAAAATTGTCCAAAACCGCAACGAAAGCCGCGTTGTTCAATGTGTTCAGGAAACCATGACACAAAAACGTGTAATAAACGAAATCCAGTAAATGCGATTGAAAAACCTGGTGTTATAATTAAACAAATATGTATAAACAATATCTTATGTAACGCTTTGATCGATTCAGGCAGTGGTGTGTCAATAATTAAGCGTAATATAGCCATTATATTGAAATGTAAACTAATAAAATGTGTGAAAACTTTGAACGGTTTTGCAGGCGGTGAATATGTGTGTTCCGAAAAGACAGATAAGTTGTCAATAACTATTGATGAACAAAAGTACAAGTGCGAAATGCTAGTGGTCGAAGATGATACCATGGCATATGACGTTATTATCGGTATTGACTTATTGTCCAAATGTCGCGTTGTGATTGAAAATGGAAACTGTCAAGTGTTTGCGATAACACCCGAAAATTTTAAGTGCAACGAGAATTTATCGGTAAACGAACAAAATGAGTTGCGTAATTTGTTAAATAATTATAATGATTGTTTTGGCGAAAATCTAAATGAACTTGGTAAGGCGAAAACAACGAAAATGGAGATTGCGGTTACATCTCCAACGCCGATAACAAAAAAACCTTACAGCATACCAATTCCTAAACAACGTGTTGTGGAACGAATTGTTGACGAATTATTAGAGTTAAATATTATTCGAACATCAACTTCAGAATACTCGTCTCCTATTGTTCTTGTACCGAAATCGAATGGTGAAGATCGTTTATGCATCGACTACAGGGCATTAAATGCTGTAACGGAAAAACAGCCATGGTCAATGCCTACAGTAGATGGTGTTCTATCAACTCTTGCGGGAAAAAGATTTTTCACAACTTTAGATATGATGTCAGGCTATTATCAGATTGAAATTGCTAAATCATCGAGAAAGCTGACAGCGTTCGTCACTCATAATGGTCACTATGAGTTTAATCGAATGCCATTTGGCCTCAAAAATGCTCCGTGCGTATTTCAAAAGATGATGATGAAACTTATGGAACCGCTGAGAGGTAAGGTGGTTAGTTATGTTGATGAAGTCATTGTGGCATCTGAAACAGCACAAGAAGGGCTTGAGAATTTAGAAGAATTTTTGAAAATTATTCGTAATGAAGGATTGACCTTACGCCTATCGAAATGTTATTTTATGAAAGGCAGTGTATGGTTTTTAGGTCATGAAGTCGACGAGAATGGTATAAAACCTGGTATAACTAAAACCATTGCGATAAAACAATTTCCTATACCAACAAATGTAACAGAAGTCAGACGTTTCTTGGGACTTACAGGTTACTTCAGGAAATTTGTTCAGAATTATGCACAAATTGCTCATCCGTTAACACAGTTAACGAGAAAGAATATTGCTTTTAAATGGTCATTGGAATGTGAAAATGCTTTCCTCAAACTAATTGAATTGTTAGCTAATGAGCCGCTTTTGGGAATATATGACATTAATAAAGAACAAGAAATTTATACTGACGCAAGCAGTATTGGACTTGCAGCGATATTAATGCAACGTGAAGATAACGGAATATCAAAGCCCATAGCATATTTCAGTCGATTATGTACAGAAGTTGAAAGTAAATATCATGGATATGAATTAGAAGTTTTAGCGGTAGTTGAAGCATGTCAACGTTTTCGAATGTATCTTTTGGGCAAACATTTTAAAATCTTTACGGATTGTTCAGCTATTTCCAGTATTAAAACAGTAACACCAATGATTCCACGAGTCGCAAGATGGCTGTTAAAATTGCTCGAATATGATTATACGTCAAGTCATCGCCCAGGTAATTTAATGGCTCACGTTGACGCAATGAGTCGAGCTCCTGTTGAACCGCCATGCGAAGTTGATGATGTATCTGCAAATTTAATGATGATTGACATTTCGAATGAGGATTGGATTTTGACAATGCAACAGCAAGATGCAAATTTACAACAGATCATTGATATTTTAAAAGGTCGTGTCGATTCAACACAGCGAGAGCAGCATGAGAAGGAATTCATTTTAAAGGGAAATCGGCTCTATAGAAGACATCATGATGGGAAAGAGTTACTGGTCATACCAAAAGGAATACGATGGAGAATTGTGAAACTTTGTCATGATGATGCTGGTCATCCAGGTGTGGATG